TCGTAAAAGCATGGATTGTAATGTAGGGAGTCCATTTGCTCAATCAATTGAGGATTTAAATTACATTTAGAACTATAAGAGGCAGTAGAATAGTCCCCATTCCAATATATACAATCTGGGTTAGAAAAATCATCAAAACATTTTCGGAGTAACAATCAGTCTTCTCAAGGTGCATCACATCAGAATGAACCACTAGTTTTTAAGCAGTCGAAAAAGAAACTTTCATGGGAAGAAACATTTGTCAAGATAGTTGAAGTATCAACACAACACATGCAAAAGACCGAGAAGAACTTGTAAACTCAACCGATTGCTATATAAAATTTGGAAAATCAAATATTTCAGAAAGACAGTCTGTGAACCTAGCAAGCGATGTAAAAAAGAACCCATAGTAACATGTTTTAGCTATCTCAACCATATAGGATGATATGATCTATAGTCTATCAATCAAATTTGCTCCATCTACATAAGACTATATGCCGCATATCCCATTCCCTTAAAGGTTTCAAAGAAAGCATGAAAATGACACAATTTAGGCAATTACTACATGGAGTGGGGTTCAACTTTCAAAAATTACAATAAAAGAGACGGATGTTATTGAATAAAAAGGTACTTTCCACAGATGTGGAACATGTGAATTAGTCCGAACAATCAGTAAAAATCCTTCCAAATCAAAATTCAGATAGTCCATAGGACAACCGCTCCGATCAAGACATATGTATCTCATGTCCCCTTTCCACAAAAACTGCAAAAGATAAGCTCGAAAAACAATTTGCAAAGTTCTTAAACATTTGCAAAGAGCTTCATGTCAATATCCTGTTACTTAAAGTCATATCTCAAATACCAAGTTATGCAAAGTTCCGAAATGAGATTTTATCAAAGAAAAGAAAGCTCAATGAATTTGAGACTATCGTGTTGAATGATAAGTGTAGTGCTATCCTACAACACAAATTACCTCATAAACTAAAGGTAGTCGATGATGTACCAAGGCAACAGCTTGATTCTGAGGACAGATTTACAACAACCCTACAGACAGGAACTTGAATGTCAAGTATCTTCTTTGATCGATCCTGACTCGAGGTGGTGGAATTTGGCTAAGCTTAGAGCTCTATTCGATCCTAAAATTGTATATGCTATTTTGAAATTACAACCTAGCCACTTAAACGAACAAGACTTCTGGTTATGGGAACATGAAAAATCAAGTACTTATTTAGTAAGTAGTGCTTATCTACTCTTCAAAACTTGTCTAACTTCCGAGCATGGTAATTCTACAAATACCGCAGAGATAAAGAAATTTTGGGACACTTTTTGGCGACTCAAGATCCCTCAAAAAGTAAAGATTTTTGCTTGGAGGGCTTGTCAAGAAAGCCTACCCTCAAAACAAAATCTGATTAAAAAAAGAGTTCCAATTGAACCTCAATGCTGTTTTTGTGATTACAAAATAGGAGATTCAGGCCATGCTCTTCTTTACTGCACTTCCTTTCAAAAATCCCTAAGTCGGGTCCCAGTGTTACAAAATAGAGCTTATCAAGGAGGCTTCATCCAAGTCGCTAAGGATATATTGGCAAAAATCTCAAAAGAAGCCCTCTCGAATTTTCTACTTATTACTTGGGATTTTTGGATCCGGTGGAATGGAATGATTCATGATCAGATCAACCTCCCACCACAACAGGTTATTGCTACTGCCTTAACGAAAAAAATTGCTGTCTAAAGAAGTCCTTCTCCGGGTGTGTTGCCTCGAGAATATCTGAGGAGTATCTATTTCTTTTCTTTTCCTTCCCTTTATATTGTTTAATTTTACTTTAAGATATTGAGGACAGTGTCTAATTTAAATTTATGGATGAAAAAAATGTTGAATTTTTATTTTTATTATTCTTGTGTGATTGTATGTTTTTATTGCTTTATCATATGTGAAAAAATGGGAAAAAATTAATTTTTTTTTTTAAAATTCAAAAATCTCTTTAGTTCGTTTATTTTTTATTTGCTTGATTATGTGTGTTAGTTAGCCTTGCCGACTATAATGGATATATTTAGAACTATTTGTTGATTTATAAACTGTGAATATGTTACATGATTAGATTAATTGATATTTATCCATATAGAATTTGATATTATTTGTGTACGTGAATTAAATTTGGCATTATGAAGGAATGAGTTGGTTCATATACCTGATAGGTCGAAATAGTAGAACTTAAATGTTAAACCTAAAGATCACTATATTAGACTTTGTTAAACCATTTTAAGTTTGGTTCGAGGATGATTGCACTGTTATAGGAAGATGGAGATGAATAGTGATTCCATGTATGTAAATTCTTTTGTAGATTGTCTAAAACCAATAAAATGAAAATTAGGTGAAAATATTAGAGATCAATTCTTGAATGAGTATTTAATAAGGGACATTGTATTAATCATTGCATAAAAAAGGAAAAAAGTTGTCATGTTATGAAACTACTTTATAAAAGATTCCAATGGGGCCACTTATAGAAAATCCCGAAACGAAAACTCAAAAAAAAGATCAAGTTAGTGTATGAAATAGAATACATACAAAAAATCTGAAAAATCATGTGCATGAAACAGAAGACACACTACATATATTGATTAAACCCCAAGCACTTATTTGAAAGAATTAAACTTTTGACAAT